TCTCTAATCGGGATGTTCGTTTTACATCCAGGATTTGGAGGAAGTTCCATGAAAAGTTGGGAACTCAGTTACATTTCAGCATCGCGTATCACCCCCAGACAGACTGCCAGAGTGAACGGATGATTCTAACACTCGAAGATATGCTACGGGTATGAGTACTGGACTTCGGATGGAGTTGGGATACATACCTCCTACTAGCAGAGTTTTCATATAACAATAAGTATCATGCCGGTATCGACCGACCCCCGTTCGAGATGTTGTATGGTCAGAGGTGCAAGACTCCCGTATATTGGGGCGAGGTATGGCATCGAGTCATGCGGAGCACCGAGGTGGTGCTTAAGACCACTGAGTTGATTCAATAGGTACGTGACAGGCTGCGATTCGTGCAGAGCCGTCAGAAAATATATGCTGACCGGCACCGATTGGATATCGAGTTTCAGGTGGGAGATTTTTGTATTGCTGAAGGTGTCACAATGGAAGGGAATCATTAGGTTTCGGAAGAGGGCAAGTTGGGACCCCGATTTATTGGTCCGTTTAGGATTTCTGCCCGAGTCGGCAAGGTTGCTTGTCGATTGGACCTTCTGAATGAGTTGAGTCGGATCGATAAAACCTTCCATGTGTCCCAGCTTCGGAAGTGTGTCACTGATGAGACTGCAATTATCTCCTTAGACAACATTCAGGTAGATGAGAGCCTAAATTATATTTGAGAGATCCATTGCAGTTTTGGATAAGAAGACTAAGGTTCCTCATAACAAGGAAGGAAGCTGGTGAAGGTGCAATGACAACACCGAAAAGGCTTCGAATGGATATAGGAGCCGGAGGATGAGATACGAGAGCATTACCCAGATCTGTTTGCATCTGTGTACTTCGAGGACGAAGTCTACTCCAAGTGGGGGAGAGTTGTAACACTCAAAATCAGGTAATTACTCTTTACACCCTTGAATTAACAAAAAATAGCATAATGGTCCCTCAAGTACGCTGGGCGTACTCTAGGAGTATGCTTAGCGTACTAAGCATGAATGAACGCAGAGGGTCAGCATGTACGTTGGGCGTACATGACGGGCATGTAAACCCTAATTTTCGTACTTAAGACCTATATAAGCATCCATATCTCATTTAAGCTTTACCCTAACCAGCCTCCTTCACCCTTAAACATCCCTGAAACCCTATAATCATTAGAGTGTGTGTTCTTGAGCTTGTGTGTGTTATAATTTCATCTTCTTGGTGTGTTAGCTACAAAGGAAAGGAGAAATCAAGATTGAACAAGGAAGGGCTTCTGGATCTTGCATTTTGAGCAACTTAGGAAGCTTGAGGGGGTAAAAAGATTTCTCATAGGTCATCATTGTCATTTCTAGACGTATCCCTTTTTATGTTCATAGATCATCTCTTGAGAATTTGAGTAACTCCAGAGCTTAGGAAGAGTAGATCCGAGGTCCCTTGACTCATTCATACCATAAAAATGGAGGCTTGATGGGTGTTTTGACCTCATGCATGGATTAAGACACTTGGAAAGGTATTAATGGGTGGTTGGGAGCATATGGAACATGAAAAGGCATAAAGTTGCCTACTTTATGCCTTAGGACATCTTAATGGACTCAGATCTAAAGTTGGATGTTGAAGTCCCAAGGATTAAGCACTAAATGGTCATTTATACATGTCATATTAGTACGTTGCGCGTAGCAGCATGTACGCAGCGCATACTGACTAAGACACTAGTAATTTTAGCGTATTGGAGTGGTACGCTGGATGTAAGCACCCTAGTGGGTTTTGGGCTTTGTGTGGGCTTGTAAGCCCTTTGGGCCTTCTTTAGTTTTGGGCCTGGTCATAATTTGGGTTGGTGGTCCGACTAATTTGTTTTGGGCCATGGTTGTTTGGTTGTGCCTTATTAGGCCATATGGCCCATTAATAGTTTTGGACATGGACTTTGGGCCCATTAGCAAGGGGAGACTTTTTGGGCCATTGTGAAAGGACTTGGGTTTAGGTAATTGGGTCCTACAATTATATTGTGTTTAACCCTAATTTAAGGTTAACAGTATTACTGTTCAGCGCTGGTGGTTTCGGATTATTAGACGGGCAGCTTTCGGGTTCAGCAGACTAAGGTGAGTCTCCTCACCATACCAATGGGTCGAAGGCACCAAGGCCAGCCCATTATGTGTTATGTGGAATGCTAGTTGATTACGTTATGTGTTATATGGTAGCTATCCTTGTGATACTAGTATGGAAGACCCCGAGGGGTTCCTGTGTTAGTAGATTAAGACCATGTAGGGGTTCCTATGACATTCAGTGTAAGACCTTGGAGGGTTTCCATGATATCCTAGTATGTTTGCATGTTTAGTTTGTATGATATTTCTATGTCTAGGGAAGACCATGTGGGGATTCCCATGGCAGGTAGTTAAGATCATGTAGGGATTCCCATGGCAGATAGTAAGACTATGTGGGGGTTCCTATAGTAGTGGGTTAAGACCACATGGGAGTTCCAGTGGGATTGGTATAAGACCTTGGAGGGTTTCCATGACATCCTAGTATGTTTGCATGTTTAGTTTGTATGATATTTCTATGTCTAGGGAAGACCATGTGGGGATTCCCATGGCAGGTAGTTGAGACCATGTAGGGATTCGCATGGCAGATAGTAAGACCATGTGGGGGTTCCCATGGTAGTGGGTTAAGACCACATGGGAGTTCAAGTGGCACTGGTATAAGACCTTGTAGGGTTTCCATGACATACTTATATGTTATGTGCATGGCTTATGTAGCTTATATGATTGATATGGTTTATGTGTTTATATAGATTGTGTGGGGTATGTTATGGGGAACTCACTAAGCATTAGCTTACAGTTTGTTGATTGTTTCAGGTATTTCAGGAGATAAGGGCAAGGGCCCGACTTGATGGCGCGGCATGCACTCTCTGGCGTTTTAGTTGGGACACTCTGATGTTTTTGAATAATTTATTTGATGTTATGATTTTTGAAAAACAAATGTAGTTGAAATATTATGTTTTATGAGAATGATTTCGTTATTTAAAATGAAAAAATTTATTGAAAATTTGGGATGTTATACCAAAGCGCTCAGAAACACCTTCTTTTAGCACACAAGCCTCAACTAGGGTTAGGGTTTCATGGAAGGGGTGTTAGAGGGTAGAGTCTGAGAATGGAGTGGATTTGGGGGAGTTAAGAAGCTTAAATAGGGCTCAAACCATGAAAATAGGGTTTGGGCGCTAATTGTGTATGCTCAGCTTACTCAGGGTGCCTCAGTATGCCCAACGTACTTCGCTTTGTATGCCCATTGTACTAAGCATAACCCATAATTGACCAAACTTCAAACGGGCATAACTTCTTTGTTCTAACTCCGATTCTAACGTTTTTTATAGCCACGAAAAGGTAACGAGAATCTCTGCACTTCTATCAACTCATCCTTGGCTTAGAACTTTCCAAAAAAAAAAAAATCCAAAATTAATAAAAACTCGAACTGACACTTTACCAAAATACCCTTGGGCGCCAGAACAAATACCGAACTCTCGAATCATCCAAATTACATTACCCACATCCAAGTGGGTCTAAATATATTTTCCTTAAAGGCCCTAAGCTTGATGATACTTGAGACATCCCCCTCTGGCACGTATCATAATATTGTCCGCTTTGAGCCACTCGGCACGAGGACTTCCCAGGGGGTCACCCATCCTGGTACTACTCCCGCCCGAGCACGCTTAACTGCAGAGTTCTTATGGGATCTGCTGCCCTCACGTCTTTAAAACGCGTTGTGATAGGGAAGGTATCCACACACCTTATAAGGAATGCTTAGTTCTCCTTCCCAGCCGATGTAGGTTCAGGTGCAACCCACCGTCACCCCCCATTATAGGGTTCGACGTCCCCGTCGAACACATCGACCCGTACCCTAGCTCTGATACCATTTGTAACACCCCCCTCTGGCACGTATCACAATATTTTCCGCTTTGGGCCACTCGACACGAGGACTTCCCAGGGGGTCACCCATCCTGGTACTACTCCCGCCCGAGCACGCTTAACTGCAGAGTTCTTATGGGATCTGCTGCTCTCACGTTTTTAAAACGCGTTGTGATAGGGAAGGTATCCACACACCTTATAAGGAATGCTTAGTTCTCCTTCCCAACCAATGTGGGTTCAGGTGCAACCCACCTTCACCCCCTATTATAGGGTTCGACGTCCCCGTCGAACACATCGACCCGTGCCCTAGCTCTGATACCATTTGTAACACCCCCCTCTGGCACGTATCACAATATTGTCCGCTTTGGGCCACTCGGCACGAGGACTTCCCAGGGGGTCACCCATCCTGGTACTACTCCCGCCCGAGCACGCTTAACTGCAGAGTTCTTATGGGATTTGCTGCCCTCACGTCTTTAAAACGCGTTGTGATAGGGAAGGTATCCACACACCTTATAAGGAATGCTTAGTTCTCCTTCCCAACCGATGTGGGTTCAGGTGCAACCCTGATACCAAAGGTGGGTTGCACCTGATCCTACATCGGCTTGGAAGGAGAACAAAACATCTCCTTATAAGGGGTGTAGATACCTTCCTTGTCACAATGCGTTTTAAAGCCGTGAGGGCAGCAGATCCCATAAGAACTCTGCAGTTAAGCGTGCTCGGGCGGGAGTAGTACCAGGATAGGTGACCCCCTGGGAAGTCCTCGTGCCGAGTGGCCCAAAGCTAGGCCTGTCAATTCGTGCAGTCGTTTCGTGTATTTGCGTAACACGACACGACACGAATTGTTTTTTCATAACCCGAAAACGACACGACACGACGTCGTGTTTTTTTTTTCTAACACGAACACGAATTTATTAAAAACCCGACAAACACGACTTACACGACAACACGACAAAAGTAGCATAAAATTTTCTTTTTTTAATTAATTCATGTTTAAAAAACGACAAACACGACAACACGATAAAATAACAAAAAAAACACCAATATCCTCAAATTAATACATGCTTAAAATGAGAAACACGCCAAAAAAAACATAAAATGGTACTAAACGTCCTCAACTTTTGTATCCTTGTTATCCATTTGCATGACATCATCGGTAAGTTCTTCTAAAGATAACTCTTCATCACCTACAAAATAAAAAACATAACATAAAATTAATAAAAAAAAGTTAATTAATACAAGAAATTCAAATTTTCAGAAAGTAACAAAAAGAAATACCTTTAGTTGCAAACAACCAATCTTTGGTACAAATTATAGCCTCAACAATGTCATGCTTCAAAGAACTTCGATATTGATTAAGAACACGACCACCATTACTAAATGCAGATTCGGATGCTACAGTAGAGACCGGGATGCTTAAAATATCCCGAGCCATACAAGCAAGCTCTGGATAACGATATTGATGTGCTTTCCAAAAAGATAGAATATCTAAATCCTCATCTATGTCACTTCTTGGCTCATCTAAGTACATCTCCAACTGTGACTTCTGAAGTTGTGAACTCCTGTGAAAAAAAAAATTATTAAAAGGAATAAAATTATACATTAAGTTAAGATCATAAAATATTTAATAAGTAGTTTTTTTACCTTTAACATCTCTCTCGTGCTTTTACTAAACACCGTGTCACTTTTCTTCACATGCACAACCTTTCTTGAATCACCCCTTGATATTGTTGAACTTTTACAAGATACGTGTGAATCAAGAACGTACTCTTTAAAGAGATCAAATAATCTCTCCCTTACACGATCAATGTGTTCAAAATATTTGCTTCCGTATAGTTTTTTATAAATAAACTCAACGTACTGTATTTTATAACGGGATCCAAAACTGCAGCCATTGCCAAAATCACACTATACTCGGACCAATACTTTGAAAACTTCTCATACATTTTCGAAGCCATTTCCTTCATAAACTTATCTGAACTTACCATTTCTTCTTTTAAAGTTTTTTCAACCATAGAAACAGAAGGAAAATATAAGTTTGCTGTGGAGTATTTGTTTCCAGAAAAGATGCACGTAACTTCATAAAAAACCTCCAAGAATCTAAAAATCTTTTCTAATTTACCCCATTCATCATGAGTTGGGCAATCCAAATAATTAGAATCGCCAAGTGCTAAATGAAAGAAAGCACGTCGATAAAATAAAGCACTTTCAATCATAAGATAAGTGGCATTCCATCGGGTTGGAACATCTTGACGCAAACCTGTTTTTGGATTCAAATTGACATATTTAACACAATCAATAAATTTCTTTCTCCTTGCTTGAGAACCCTTCACATACTTGATAGACTCTCGTATTTTAACGATCCCTTCATCAATAGCCTTCAAACCATCTTGCACAACCAAATTTAGCACATGAGCACAACACCGAATATGAAAATAATCACCATTACTACGAAGAGCACCTTCATTGCACAATTGACCTTTTAGTAGATTGACAAAAGTATCATTACTTGATGCATTGTCTAATGTGATAGTAAACAATAACGTGGAAATCGTTTCTGTTAAGCATACACCACTATGTGGGGGTGGCATATATTGAAAGCTTAAAATTCTTTTTTGCAATTTCCACTCCTCATCAATGAAGTGACAAGTCACACACAAAAAACCATCCGTATTAATTGAAGACCACAGATCAGAAGTTAAAGAAATTCTACCCTGGTTTAACTCCAGTAATTTCTTAAGTCTGATGTTTTTCCCTGTTAAACAGGCTCACAACATCTGAATTAGCTGTGTTTCTAGTATAAGTGACAACATTTTCATTTAAGTACCGAAATACTTCTCTAATCCCCTCATACTCCACAAATTTAAAAGGTAAATCATGCTTGACAATAGCTTCACTCACAAGCTCACGAAATTTTTCGGGTTTAAAAACTGTGGAATTCATAGACATTGAACCACCAGATTTTGAAATAAGTAGTTGTGCTATGTCACCGTTATCTCTCCTAGGACACTTTTTTATGTGACCTCGCAAGCTTCCTGTTCCAGTTTTTGTTTCACAGATGTATCTTTTTGAGCATCTCTTACATTTTGCCCTTTCCCTTCCATCATTACCAATCGGAAGTCTTTCAAAAAACTTCCATACCTTCGACCATCGTTCTCTTTCTGATTTGACATGAACTTCTTCACCTTCTATTTTAACATCTACATCAACCACATCGATGTCATCTTCTTCAAGGTCAACATCCTTCAAAAAAAAGTATAATATTTAGGTATGTAATGAATTGGACGAGTAGTAAACTTGATGAAATTCAATAAGTTAAATTGGTAGTAAAAATACCTGTGGAGCCACAACTACAGCAGCTTCTATTGTTGAATCAAGCTTTGCCTTCTTCATAACTACAACAGGTTCTGCTGGTTCTATATTATCTGGACAGAAACAAATAACAGGTTCTATATTATCTGGACAAAAAGAAATAACAGAAAGAAATCTGAACATAAAGAAATAACAGATTTAAAGCTTAAATAACAGTTAATGAAATAACTGGTTCTGCTGCACAATGCACATATACATATAATTATCTATACGAAAAACATAATCATTACTGAAATAACAGAAAGAAATAACATATTCAAAGCTTAAATAACAGATGCAAAGCATAAATAACAGTTAATGAAATAACATGTTCTGTTGCATCCATGTTCTTGAGAAAAAAACACAACCACATGTTCTTGAGAAAAAAACACAACCACATAATTTGTAGATAGAAGGTAATATGTTAAGCTTGAGTTTGGAAAGAAGGTTTAAGGTATTTTGGGGATAATCAGTGTAAAAGCAATAATGGCGGTAAAAGTCAAGCTTGGTTCTGTTCCTTCCTGTGTGTTCTGATTTATTGCAAATCACACAGCAAGAAATTTTGACCGATAATTAGGGTTTGATCAATAACAAGGAATCACAGAATGGTTTGATCGATAATAATGGCAGTAAAAATCAAGCGGAAAATCAAAAAATATAGCTATATAATCGATAACCTAAACTAAAAAGGAACACAAAGAAAGGAATTTTGATGGATGAAAAACATTACCGTGATGATTGTCGATTGATGAAGAAAAATAGAAATCGCCCAGTCGCTAGTCGCTACCGTGAACTTGTGATGAAGGAATCGGCCAATCGATATCTTATGACTTCTGATTTCTGAAGAGCTAAGTCGGTCGATGTGCTCTACAGTGTTTGTGCTCGAATTAGGGTTTGATCGATAACAAGGAACAACAATCTACGCTTGAAATTTATAATCGTAGTCCGTAGATGGAGATTGAAGAGTCGATCTGTCGATGGAATATGAATCGGAAGTCGGAAGAGTGAAGATGAACCGAGGGAACTTTTATTGGAACTTTATAAAGTCATTAAACCAAAAGACGCTTCACTTAAACGTGTGTGTGTGTGTGTGTATATATATATATATATATATATATATATATATATTCAAATATATTATTTAATAAAAGCATAAGTCGGTTGTATCTCGTGTCAAACTCGTTTTTATTGTCGTGTTATATGTGGGCTTTTAATCGTGTTTGAGTCGTGTTACTTTCGTGCCAATTTCGTGTTAATTTCGTGCCGTTTTTTTAACACGAACACGACACGACACGGCGTCGTGATTTTTTTTCCTAACACGAACACGACACGAACACGAATTCGAATTTCAATTTCGTCCCAATTTCGTTTCGTGTCGTTTTTTCTTGTCGTGTCGTGGCATGTTTTAAAAGGCCTACCCAAAGCAGACAATATTGTGATACGTGCCAGAGGGGGATGTTACAAATGGTATCAGAGCTAGGGCACGGGTCGATGTGTTCGACGGGGACGTCGAACCCTATAATGGGGGGTGAAGGTGGGTTGCACCTAATCCTACATCGGCTTGGAAGGAGAACAAAACATCTCCTTATAAGGGGTGTGGATACCTTCCTTGTCACAATGCGTTTTAAAGCCGTGAGGGCAGCAGATCCCATAAGAACTCTGCAGTTAAGCGTGCTCGGGCGGGAGTAGTACCAGGATGGGTGACCCCCTGGGAAGTCCTCGTGCCGAGTGGCCCAAAGCGGACAATATTGTGATACGTGCCAGAGGGGGGTGTTACAATACTCGATCTTCGGGTCACCACTCCCATATAGGAAACGATTCGGAATAGGGCGTTACAACTCTCCCGCACTTAACTTAGATTTCATCCTCGAAATCACTTCTTACCACCCTCATGAGAACCAAAATTCTGAACAAAACGTTCTAGTGCTACAAAAATCACTGAACCCATAGTTGTGTTGGATTAGGTATCTAAGCCCATAAATATAATTGGTATGTACTTGATTTGATAGTATCATGGTCCTTTTAGGTTGTCTTCACTCTAGCAACTTGATAGGATGATTTTTGGAGAGAGAGGTTGAATTTATTATTTGGAATAATAAATTGATTTATTAATGTATTATGAAAATAATATATTAATTAGAAATCATGTTATTTAATTAGTATTTAATCGAAATTTATTTGAAAATAATTTTGGGATTGAAGGAACTGATTAAAGGAATAGTGGCTGTTTTACAAACCATTGATAGTTGTGAAACTAGGCTATTGGACTCCTTAGATGGGAGTCCATGGGATGCTTAAGCCTTAAGTAGGAAATTAGGGTTTCCTCCAACAAACCCTAGTAGCCCTCAGCTATATAAGACCCTACCTCATAGGATTTTTGGTCAATGCTTGTTGCTACAAACACTAGCCTAAATTCTTAGAGTATTCCCTTCTCTCTCCTCTCATCCTCTTGCTAGTGGTGTTTGTAAGACATTAAAGGTGTCACATTTGAGGCACTAAGCTTTTAAGAGTCAAGGATGTACAGGGTTTCTTGTTATTGCTACATAACAAGTGAGGTAAACTTCTAAACCCTAATTATATGTAGATTTCGATTTATATTTGCTAGATCCAGGGTTTTGCTTTGGTACTCAATTTGTATGTTCAACTAGTGAAAAACTTAGATCCAAAGCAATTAGGGTTGCATGAACACATAGGTTGTAGTTATGCTCAAAACCCTTCAGTGGTATCAGTGCCCAAGATGTTTTTCAGTTGAATTTGATTCATATGTGAATTGTCCAAACGAGGAGAGAACATATTCATCAATCTGTTCATAAAACTCGACGAGTTTATAGTGGAACTCGACAAGTTGACTTGTCAGATCCCTGATTTTTCAATTTTGATATCTTGGTTTGATTAGGATAATTACCTTAATTCGTTTTTATTGCTTAAATATGAATTTTCTGAAAGGTAATTTGATATCCTTATCATAATTAAAGGATTTGGTTAAATTTTTTGATAAATATAAGATTAGTCTGTTAATTTAAAATTTAACCTAGTATTTTTGAATAGTTTAAAAATACACCCTCATGGATTTTATTAATAAATTAATTAAGTGTTTAAATAAAACACAATTAATAAATCCATAAAATGGTTTAAATTTAATTAAATTAAAAGTTTAGTTCATTAAAAGATTATACCTTGGTATTTTAAATGTTTAAAATACACCCTTATACTATATAAAATTAGAATTATAATATTATATATGTATAAGAAAAGTTAGTCTTACCGTTAGTAGGCCTCATTCACGAAGTTGGTCTATAAGGAGTGTTTAAGGAAGCGGCCTATAAAATGACTGCCATTGGGTATTCATTCTTACCCACCACACTCTTGACTAGTGGAGGGTCGTTAGTTGAATGTGTAAGATAGGACACTAAACTCTCATTAAAAGTATAATCAATTGTAAAGTAACTAAACACTTTTATAAAATTCCAAATCTTAGTTACTTTAGGAAAAATGTGAATTTGATGCTAACCCATGAAATTTCACATTGCACCTTATTGGTCGTTAATGGAGCATGTGTAGTTAACCGACACACTAATATTGGACCAATATTGTTGGCAATGGGTGTCTCGTAAATTACAGTTGAGTCAATGGAGCGTGTGTGGTTAACCGACACATTGATTGGATGATAAATGACATCAAGAATACCAAGCTAATTTGCATGGTTATTCACATCTCGTTTGTGATCCTCAGTATCTCAGTTACAAAGTGAGAGCATAATCGAGATTAAACATGCCATTAAATAGTTCAATGAATCTTAAAAGATCTAGGAATTCCATCTAAAACCTAATTCATTTTTTTAATTTTGCTTTAGTGGTGGAATTGGTAATTTGTCATTTACCTACCCTCAAATAATTTACAATTGGATTACGGCGTCCCTCTTCTGAATTGTGAATTATTGTGTTGGATCCTAGCCTTAATATTTCATTTGGGTGTTGTATTAAGGATTTAAATCAACTAACTTGTTTTTTCTCCCTTTTATCGATGTCAAGTTCAGACAACTATGGTCTTCCTCGTCTTTCTAGAAATGGTTTTCCTTCTGAAGATGATCTTCCACTTATCGATCAAGGTGAAAGAACATTCCCTTCTTCGAGCATTGGTGGAACTGGAAATCATACTTCTCTAACTATTCCTCCACCTCCTTCAGTGATTCTCCCCAACCCACGTTTTCTTCAACTTGAAAAGTTCAAGGTCACTGAAGCCATGTTGGCATGCAAACACCTAGATGGAAATTCTATGTGTGCGCATGCTCTGAGCATCAAGTCGCACATTGAAAGATTGGGACGTTTTACTAAAGGAACTGGCTATTGACTTAGTTCTTCACTCGCTTCCTGAATCATATAGTCGGTTCATTAAGGACTACTATATGACTGATAACGACGTGACCCTAATTGATTTGACATATTTGCTAATTGCTGCTGAAGCAAAAATGCTGAAGAGCACTGGTCAAGCAAATGTGTTTGAAGGATCTATCTCCTAAGTCTCCATGGACAGTGGCAATAACAACATTGGTAGTCCAGAAAAGGTTTCTCTTTCCAATGGAAAGGGATCGGCCATGGTCAAACCATTTGACTATATGGTAAAGAGAAAGGCCAATTCTGAGATAGTACCATGTGCCATTCCTAAAGAGTCCATATGTTTCTATTGCCAATTGAAGGGACATTGGATGCGAAATTGCCCAGATTACCTGAAAGATCTTACAGATAGTGAAGTCAAGTTGTATGAATCTACTTCAGGTACATCCACTATCTAACTTCATTAAGTTCTTATTCATAGATTCTTAATACATGATGTGATAGTCACATTTTGATGTTTTTGCAGGATCTAAGAGTAAGAAGGAAGCTTAAGAAGAGTAAGATGAAATTGATCGTGAGAGATGGATTTCAGTTGCATAGTTCGATGATCAAATTTTTGAGCTGCTACTAGGAGTTATGATAGATTATTAGATTGCTTAGGAAATATCTAGAAACATAGTTTCACATATATATATATATATATATATATATATATATATATATATATATATTTGCATTGTAAGGCCAAATTTTTCCACACATTACCAATAAAGATTTTTTTTTTGTTTTATCTTATTTACTTTATATCTC